TTACAAGATCTCTTTCAAGTCTCCTCCCCCTCGCAACACGCAATCCTAGAAAAGGAGGCGCGCTCCATCAAGCTCATTGGCGACCTATCAATCAAAGACTATGTTCACAAGCATCGCGCCCATAGAGCAAGAATGATCGCCGCAGAATACCCCCACATTCAGCATGAATCGACTACTGTCAAATTCATGGCCGAAGGCTTGCGCGACAACCCCTCATTTTTCGATATGATACGTACTTTCAAAGCTGCTGGCTTCCCCGTTTCAATCTCAGCCCTTCATGACCGCCTCCTTGACATCGAAGACGAAAACGACAAAACCAACCTCATCCCACAACCTACCCCAATCCGACCGAACTATCACGGACTTGCCGAGAGGGGCCGCGGAGGAAGACCTGGATATCGCCGAGGACGTGGTCGCGGCCGCGGGAAGTACGGGCAACCCTGGCAACCCTACCGTCACGGACTCGCTAACCAGCTGAACCAAATCGCACAAGTCGGTAAACTGCTCACAGCATTCAATCACCCGCAAAACAAACCTATCCCACCCGCACGAAGACCTAACCGCCGCCCAACCCAAGCACACTCCGCCACTACAGCAGACCAACACGAGGAAAAGGAGCCCCTTCTTGATCTAGAAGCGCTTCAAGCACTTCGTGCGGCCGAGGAGGCAGATATGCAAGACATACAACAGGACAGCTCGGATCGTACGTATATCCTCGATTCCGGCGCAAACCCTTCCCATATCAACCACCCCATCACAGAAATGAAAACCCTAACCCACCTGCTCGAAACAATCACTGCAACCTCATCCTCCCGCGGCGCAACACATTCCGGAATTGCGAAGATCAAGACAACTAAGGGGTATTACTTATCCCTACCTGCAGTTGTCCACCCACTTGTCAAACCCAATCTGCTATCTGTCCACGACATCGCTGATCGATGGGGACACGTTGTTTTCTCGAAAAGCACAGCTCACATAGTTCACTCAAAAACACGCCAACCCGTTGTGATCGGCACCGCTCAATTTAGCAGAGGACCATATCAATTGGCACACCAGGCAACCCCCGTATTACTATCCTCCAGAACCACTCCCAGAAAAACCACAAGGAAGCCTAGACCCCCCTCCCCGTCTACTCCCATAGCCCAATCGCAATCAATGCGCAAGGCAATAAAAGCTATCCCACGCACAGCTCAATCCCTCGCCACGCGAGACAAAACCCACCCAAAACGCACACCACGACTTCCAAACAACTCCCCGCACCCTCCATCCAAGTCCGATGCCAAAACAGATGCATTTCACTTCTGTCATCTCGTGTTTAACCACGTAAACCTCCGCACACTACAAATCATGGCCCGGGAACAACTTATCCCACTCCCGGATATTCTGAAGACATCTCCACCAAAGCTTACATGCTCAGGTTGCGCCAACGGAAAACTTCGACCGCAACCACACAAAACTACAGTCCACCAATACGAAATCGGCATTGCACTTTCTTCAGACGTCTGTGGACCAATAGCGCCGAAATCAATACATGGCAACTCATATTTCGTTTCATTTATCGACACAAAATCTAAGTACGCTATACTGTACTTCATGGCCACCCGCAAGCAACTCATCCGTTACATCTCAAACGCTGTATCAATAACCGAGAACCAACACGGACGGCCCCCGCGCATATTCACCACCGACAATGCCGGAGAGTACCTCAGCAAGCAAGCAAACTTGTTCTACTCATCAAAAGGCATCAAGCTAACTCCATCCACGCCATATTCCCCACAGGAAAACGGAATCGCTGAACGTCTTAACTGTACATTGATGACAGCTGCACGAGCATCGCTATTTCACAGCAACCTACCCGATATTTATTGGGAAGACGCTGTTCGGGACGCCCTATTCAAGTACAATCTCACTCTACACCACACCACCCAACAGTTGCCCCATACCATGTGGTTTGGAATGGCCCCCACCCTCAACAAACTTTATACATTTGGACAGCTCGGATTCATACCGCACCTCGGCCCCAAGAAAAAGCCCACTTCTCGAGCTATACCAGTCAGATATATGTACGCCACCGACCTTACCCACATCGCCGTACAAAACCTTGCCACTCGGTCGTTCCAACGCGCACGAGCGGTGGACTTCCACCCCTATCAACATTACAGCGATCAGGTCCACACGCAAACCATGGCGTACAAGTCTCACGCCCCACACCCCGACCCACATAGGATCACACCACACCAGCCCCTCGTTCATTACCTCAAGCACGGCAGTACCCTTGTGGTATAACTACCTTCGTCCCGACCACTCGGAACGAGGGGGGTTAGAGGTAAGGGAGCGCGCGCCGCTGGGTAACCCACGCGAGCGCAAACCGTACGGAAGGACTCCAAAAGAGGGAAGGCTCACGTGGCCGGTGACGCGCAGCTGGTCGGTGGTGTTAGATCCGGACGGCCGGTCACGCGTTAGAAGCCTGAGACTTAGAGGTAAAACCGGACGGAGTTAGCAAAAAGCCGTAAAGGGAAGGGAGGCAAGTCTGCCTCCCGTTTACTGGAACGGTGCAGGTGCCCCCGGTCTTAACCCCTAAGTGGGACGCCAGGACACCTGTCCCGCTACAGTAGCTGTTACTTACTGTATACCAGCTACTGTGCTAAGTTGGCTAATTTGTGCCGTTAACTACTAATTACTAATTACTTACCGTTCGGATCCTACACGTGTAACCAGCGGGGTACCACTGTACTCCGCACCGGCCGTGTGCTGTAAATATAACTCCTTACAGTTCTTCTCGCGCTTACAGCCCATCGTACTGTATCCCGGGGCGGCAGCGGTGGTGCGATTGCTTTCGCGCCGTTGTACTACAACCCCGACGCCCAGGCGTGGAGCAAAGCCCACGACGCAGAGCTCAACAAGATTGACGAGACCAAAGTCATCCGATGGCTACCCAACTCGCAACTGCCACCCAAAACCAGCTTGATACCACTAAAAATGACATATACGTACAAACGATCACCAGCTGGCAATATTAACGAAAGAAAAGCACGCTGCGCAGTACGAGGCGATTTAATGAAGCCGGGTATCCATTACAACCCTGCCCACACAGCCTCATTCATGGCCGACAAATCACCGTAAGACTGCTCTTGGCCTTGAAAGCCACCGGAACACTTGTTGCTGAACATTTTGATATCAAATCAGCATATCTCCACGAGCCGTTTAAGTACGAAAAGCATGAGTTTGTACGCCAATATCCACGATTCGACGGTACCCTAGAACACAAAGGCTCAGGGGGAAGGCTAGCCCGAAACTTGTACGGCAACCCATCCGGCGGCTACTACTACGTCGAAGGAGCTTACCAGACTTGGATACACACAAAGGAACAACGACCCATGCCTATTTTTCCGCATAATCAACCCAAGGCCCTTCATCCTGATAGCCCTAGTCACAGACGATTTTTTATCAGTCTCCACATCACAAGCACTAATCACACAACTCTACACTGAACTGACGAAGAAATACGATGTCAAAAGACTTGGAACCCCTACGCAATATCTCGGAGGGACAATAGCTCACGGCAACGACGGATCTATACACATAAGCCAGCCAAATTACATTGACAGAATCCTAACGAATATGCGAATGCAAGACGCGAATGGACGCCGCACCCCTTATCCAGATGGCCAAAAGTGGCATGGACCTACAAGCGACGACAAGCCAGCCCCACAACTACGCGAAATATATCAAAGCATACTGGGGGAACTACGCTATGTCGCAGACTCCACTCGTCCCGATATCATCTTCGCCGTTAACAAACTGGCCGCGGCTATTCATTCACCAACGTGCAGACACTGGCTTTTACTTAAAGCCCTCGCTCGGTATCTCAAGACAACCAAACATGTCGGAATTCTTTACAAACCGGACAAAAAAGGGATAAAACTTTGGTGCTTTATACAAAAAAAGTCACCAACCAAACCACACACGGAAACTATAACGACATTCTCCGACGCAGACTTCTCCGGTGACATCTGCGATAGCAAATCAACCTCAGGGGCACTTCACTTGTTTAATAATTCCCCAATCGCATGGACCGCTACAAAACAAACCATGCAGGCTCTGTCCACGTGCGAGGCCGAATATATAGCAGCTACAAGCCCAGTACAAATGACCCAATGGCTACGCAGACTGCTCTCCGAAATCGCCCTACTTCCACCCTCTCCAACGCATTTATACTTGAATAATCAAGCAGCAATCGCGGTGGCAAACAACACTGCACCAACAAAACGCAGAATGTTCATAGACTTACGCCACCACTTCTTTCGCCAACACATGAAGAAGGGTAACATTCGAATCCTGCATGTCCCATCTTCCGCCATGCTAGCAGACATATGCACCAAACCCCTAAGCCCTGCAAAGTTTGAGACCCTCAAAGAAGCCCTTAACCTAGCGCCAAGCACGCAGCAAACACCAACGGCCGACCAGATCGCTACCACCACTTCAAAACAGGAGGCGTGTCATCACGCGCCCACTCCATGAGATGAAGCGATCGCGCAGATACAGTTGTTTCAAATGGCACGCGAATCTCCTCTTCCTTCCGCCAATGTCATCACGCTATCATCACGCGACGTGTACACGGGTACACGTGAGAGCCCTGGCTCCGACGCCGCCAGAGCGAGTAGGATAAGAGGGGGTGCAATGTCCGCCCAGAGTAAAGGAAGGAGCCACGAGACTCAGTAACAACAAAAGCACACTGCTAACACAATCACAACAAAGCCTGCATAACACAACATCCTTTGAGTACTGAACCATGCCGGATGATACACGTGTGAGCTTATGATAACCTGTGCCAGAGGGCGAGCCATAGCACTATATAGAGGGAAGCACTACTAAAGTAGGCACTATTGAGCGACCCCCCCTGTACTTTATTAACCACTGAAGCAACTTCAAACAAGCCCTACAGTATCTATCCAATTCATGATCTGTGTCGGAACTCACTCGCACGCGGCAGTCAGCGGATGAGCGGCTCAGGACGGGAACTCCTGACACGCGCATTGCGTTCGATTGCACCGGCCACCAAAGCGGATGCCGCGATCTACCTCGCGTTGTCAGGGGGAGTAGATAGTTCTGTTGCGGGTTTGCTTCTGGCAGAGCGTGGGTGGGCCGTAAAGCCAGTCTTGATGCGATGTTGGGACGATGATAGCGGCGAGCAGGACATAGGAACTTGCCACGAGGCTGAGCTAAAGACGGCCTCTGCGGCTGCAGCGGCGTTGTCGCTCCCAGAGCCTGAAGTGTTCGACTTCGTCAAGGAATATTGGACTGATGTGTTCGATGGTGTTTTGCTTTCGGGGTTAGAGGCCGGGCGCACGCCAAATCCAGATCTAGCGTGCAACCGCAGCGTAAAGTTTGGCGCCTTTCCTGAGCGGCTTCAGCAGCACGCTGGAACGCACGTGACACCGCGCTTTGCTACCGGGCATTACGCGCGACTGCGCCAGGACGGTGAACAGACGACGCTGCTTGCAGCTGTCGACGAGAACAAAGATCAAACGTATTTCCTAAGCTCAGTGCCTGGGAAAGCATTGAGAAAGGCATGTTTTCCTGTAGGGAGTTTGCTCAAAGAAGAAGTGCGGACAATTGCGACATACGCTGGTCTGCCCGCTGCTACTACACGCTCTTCTCGCGGAATCTGCTTTGTCGGAAAACGGTCAATGGCAACCTTTCTGGAACGGTATCTCAATGGTAGGAAGGGTGTTTTTATCGATGCAGACAGTGGATCGATTGTTGCGGAGCTACCGCATCACGCTCATACGTACACGACGGGGCAGCGCGCACGGATCGGTGGAAGTACGGGGAAGGCGCACTACGTGCTGAGGCGGGATGGAGACAATGTGCTGGTGGTTGAAGGGCGAGAGCACCCGAAACTGTACACAACAGAACAAGTTTGTGGGCAGGTAGATTGGGTCTCTGGTAAAGCACCCGACGGGTTGGGCCGTGAAGGTATTAGACTCGAGTACAAGTCAAACTCATCGGCAAGACGTCTGTCGTGCATAGTCACAGCTGACGATGGAGAAGGAATTATTATTCAGTTTGAGCGGATGCAGCATATCATCGTATCTGGACAAGCAATTGTACTGTATCAAGGCGAGGTATGCCTCGGCGCGGCTTGGCCATCTGGACAGGACGAGAGTATCCAAGAAAAGCCTTAGACGCAAAGCCAGTTCATTTCGTCGAAGCACATCGCATGGTCTTTAGCGGGACGATCTCCGTTCAGAATTTTGATACTCACAGACGTATCCATTTGGGTTCCGTCGGGCTGGATGCGAGGCGTTAGAGACCGTTCTTTGCTAAGCAACAGGAGAGCAACATGGGAGGACACTTGAGACGTGTCCACTATGTTTACTGCACTGCTGTACCGAAGCTCAGAGACCAAGTTGCAATTGAAGAGCTTGAGCTTCCTGGCGGCCCTGATGGTCACGTCACCATGAAGATTGAAGAGCTTGAGCTTCCTGGCGGCCCTGATGGGCACCTTGGCAGGTTGGATCACGACCACACGTGTCAAACATTTCAACACGTGTAAATGGCTAGGTCTCAGCGCCAAATACTACAAAATAGAAAGTTTATTCAAAACCTACAGCATCACTGACCTCCATTGAAGCCTGTACCAGATCTCCCGATCCACTGAGCGGCCCGCCGTCCATGTGCCGCTCCTCAAAGCCTTAGTGGCACACGCTTCCAATTACTCTTTGCTTTTATCACATTCCCCACCGCAGACCCTTGCTCTACTCCATTCTTGCACAACGATGTCTGTCCTAGTCTCGCCATCTGGCCAGTTGGATGCTGCCAGCCTGGCAGATATTCAAGTAGATCAAGACGACACACTTGCCGTCGTTTGCGCCCTTGCTGCGTATGGGCTGCAGAAGAGTTCCTTACTCGATGCTGTCTTTGGAACCTCATTTGCATCCTCCGAATCCCACCTTGGAGTTTCAGCTGCTGTCGTGGAGGGAGAAGATTCCGCTGTCCTCGCCGCGCCACATAACCACGTCGTTGTTCTTGACGTGGAGCCGTACGATGGGCCGGACCGTTCTCGCGAAGAACTTCGTGAACGAGCTGCTCATCTCTCTGTGGCTCTTGCCGATGTCATCTTCTTCGTCGTTCGAATGAATGAGATTCATCGCCCTGATGTCAACGGTGTCTCTGCACTTCGGTCGAGCTTGACCGAAATGCTTATGATGCAAGACGATGGCATCATAAAGCAACCAAATAAGGACAAGAGATCTTTCATCGTCGTCGTTAAAGATTACGAGTCAGAGGTCCTTACTAGACAGGAAATTATTACTGGGTTTTTGCAGTCAATACATGAGCTCTACGCCTCACTAGTCAAGCCATCCCGCTGTCCGCAGCGCGTTACCGAGTTGTTCGAGTTTGAATTCAGGTTACTTCCCTCCGACAAATTTCAGGCGGAGGAGTTTGAAAATGGTCTTGCTGACATGCGCTCCGATTTTTTGGACCCGGCGGCCGACAACTACCTATTTGAACAATCCGCTTTTACCCGAGATGTCAATGTATCCCTTGAAGATTGCGCGAAGGGTGCTTGGGAAAAGCTTTTCAAAGAACAGGCCACAGACATGCCAAATAGCGTGGAGCTTATGTCCACATTTGACTGCGGTAACGTTATGCGAAAGGTTTTCGAGAAATATCAAAGAGGGGCTAGATTGTGGAGACGTGAGACGGATGGTGGCGTCATTGTTGAGAATTTTGGCTCAGCAGCCTCGAAGATGGTGGAGGGCACTGTTGGTGTTTACGATCAGGACGCTGCTTCGCACAAAGGATCCAAGGCATTTAAGAGAAAGCGGGACGAGTTGAAAGGTCTGCTTGATGCCGATTTGTACGGATTGTTTGTTACTCAGATTGGGAAGCTTCGCGAAATTACCTATCGTCTTTTCAAGGACAAACTTGATGGAATTGGTGATGACGAGGCCCGTCTTGAGAAGGCCGTCAACAGCACTCTGAAAGAATCTCAGAAGTACTTCCAAGTCAACGCTGAGTTGCTGCGGCCTAAGAACACGTCATGGCGATTTGACAACGACACGAAAGAACTGTCCCAGCAGATGCGGGAGGATGCCACCGAGCGGCTGCAGAGGGCCAGGTTGGCTGATTATCAGCAGAACAATGGCAGAAGGGGTCGCCGGCGTAGGCCGGGGTTGGGGCCAGGCGAGAAGTCTCGTCAACCAATTCAAGTCTCCTTCCACTATCTTGACCCCGCGCCGTTTGGATGGAAAGATTCCAAGTTTGAAAAACTAAGCGTTGACGATAACCTCGAGTACAGCAGCAATGCGCCAGCGCTAGGCGTTGGAGGAGGCTCAGGAACGAGCAGTGGTGGCCTGTCGGTGCCTATTATGCCCAGTAGGGGTTCTTCGTGGTATCAAAAGAATCAGGACTTCATTTACTCGGAGAAGAAGTGAGGCTGCCGCAGGGCAGAGTCTGTAAATTTTGAAGCCCTTTTCATCTGAATAAAGAAGAGAATCTGATTTTAGAAGGTACCGGACAGGCCTTGATCGTTCTCGAAGATCTTGTCAGATGACCAACACTGACTCTTTGCTTCGAAAGTTTTCGTCAGGACATACTCGAACATTTTTTAATCGTATCAGGAGAACACACATTCTGCTGAAGAGGAGCACTTCATTAGAATATCAACAGAACGGTGGCCCTCACATGCTCCATTTATTGCAACGTATGTTCGTTTTTGAGCTAACTGAGCAGTCTCATCCATGAGAGCGATGCCACCGGTTAAAAGGTGAAGTTTTCGCACAATGCAGTAGAAGAAAGATGAGAGTGCCAATAAACGCGTGGTATGGCACATACCAAACAAGGTAAGTAGTCTGGTCCTTCTAACACAAGACCTTTCTCAAGTCAGTTAGGCATATATGTAGTTCTCTTCTTGTGGCCAGTCCTTTTAGCTATCTCTGCTCCTGGGAAGGACCAGTGAATCGAGATCATATCTGTCGGGATGCCGCCATCAGAAGCAGCTATGAGAGTATGCGTACCACCATTTTGTGAATCAAATTTGTCGAGTGCGGAGGAACTAACAACATGAACTCTTACAGAATGGAGCCCCATACCCTCTGGCTCAATTTCGAAGTCACAGCATCTCTTATGAAAATGTAAGATAGTAATGGGGAAAAGCTTCGGGATAGCGATTGCTCAATACTGGTGTAATGTGCCAGACTGTTTCGTCGCGATCTTGTAGCCATGTCAACAGTTTATGAAAGTCTTGTTCACGATTCATCAGTGAACGCACCATGTCTTCCGAGCCGCCCCTGTGCCGTCATACCCCCAAAGATGGGGAACAATGAGTTTTCGTCCGCGCCCTTTCATCAGAGAGTCGTCTCACCTACCAGAAGCAACAAAGATGTTTCCAAAAAACTTTCCTCTTTTTACGATTTGAAGCAGGAGTTCCATCGTCTGAACGGGAAGAGAGCAGGCAGGGAGAATGATTCAAGTGGCTTATGCAAGCGCATAAATAACTCTACTTGTCCCATGTGTGCATAGATGTCAACACAAATGGTCTATAAAGAACGGCGGGTGTCATAATGCGATGTCGATCTACACGGAAGAGTCCTCACTCAATGTTAGAAAACACAGATCGGGAAGAAAGAGAAATAACGGTTCCCCTTGTTTATGCTGTGGATGCCAACAAAAGCTACTGCCCGTCATCTTCAGCGATTATTGCAACAAAAATCGTCGGCGTAAAAGTCGCTATCAATATGTCTCGAGAAAACACTTCTTCGACGTGCTCACTTAAAAAGCCACATATAAGGATTGCAGCAGGTCGTTTATAAGGGCATAAATATCTCTGATATGAATGCTCGGCGCTTGCCGCGGACTGAGATTGCACTTCAGTGCATGCACACTTACAGGATTAAAGGACCTTTCTAGCTCGCTGGTTTCTAAATGCATTCAGCGGGGGACGCGACCTGAATGACGTTAGCAACCTATCTCCAACCGCTTTCCAGAAAATAATAAGGTTTTACTATGCAGCCGAGGTGGCATAATAAGGTCTCCGCTCACACTGCTGAAATGAAATCCTGCTAAGTACGCGCGTAAAACAATTGGAATTCCAAGCTGAGTCTTTTCGCTCATGATGGCACATACATCTGGTCAAGCTGAGCTACTCAAATGCAGTTACGGACCAGTATCGTCCTTGATTTTGATAACGTTAAGTCGCCGTACTTCCAAACCACGAAAATAATACTAGACTCCCGCTCTATACAATGCAGTAGATGCGATGACGCTTGGATTCCCCACCACTCCAGTCGCTTGATTTGTTGTCGCCGCGTATCCAGTGAAGCACAAAGCAGCACCTAACGCCTGTGCTGCGCTTCCCATGCAAGCCTGAGACTATTTGTCTTCGCTTGCTTGTTTAGAACATTGTCGACTTATTAGTAAAGGGCAGTGGTCCGAGCCTAAGAAGCCAATTCGGTCAAAGCCGTGCCCAGTTATTTGCACCGACACAATGGAAGGCATCACAGATCTTGAAACGATGCAATGATCGATTCGCATTCCCCTCCCTGCGTGCTTTCCAGTCGTATGCCCCCTCCATGTCAACCCAGAATTGTCGGACTCACCCACTAGTTCTCTGTATGCGTCAACCATATTGCCCACTTTCAAAATCTCCCTGAACTGACTTCGTTCGCGAGGAGTGCATCCTGGCTGCCCAACGTCTTCTTCTGATGGCGGTGCCCTAGATGGGCCCAGTTTTGCAGTATTGCGGCCTCCCTTTTGCTTCTTGTAGTAGGCTGGATGTGAAAGGTCCACGTCTAATGGGGCCACATTCTGCGCATAATTCATAAAGATGACAACTCTAGGACCTCACGTCAGATATCTGCAATGTGAAACCAGTTTAAATTGCATCATCAAATTTGCGAAAAACTTACAAGATCACCAATCCACATGAGGTTGACTTTGGCTTCCTTCTTCCTTATCACAAATTCTTTTATCTTCTGGTCCCAATCTCGCCTTCTGGACAAGTGGTTCTCATCCCACCCATTGTTGGGCGAATAACTTCACCAGTGACGAATTGCGCATTAACGAAATACGTGTTTAGCACGCAAAATAATGTGTTGACGAGCGGGCCCATGTAGAGCGAGGTGAAGACAACTTACGTATGCAAGATAGAGAATCCTGTAAACTTTGCAACAATAACACGACCATCGCCATCATGCACATTGCCTTTGATACACACAGGCTCCAAGTTATAGCGCACTGAGATAGGTGGAGCTGTCGTCTCGGTGTTGAGAAGCATGGCAGTACCGGCGTACTTGGTGTCGGCGAGACTGAAATAGCATCTGTACTTTGCCATCTCCTTACTTCTCATGAACGTATTTACAAGAGAAAAATCTTCCAGAGCCTTCTTGTTCCCATCGCGCATACGATAGCGGTACCATTTTGTCTTCGGATTTGGCTTGGCCGTGGGGTTGTCGTTCGCAGCCGCAATACGTACTTCACTCAAGAAGATGACATCTGGGGCATGCCTTTCAACGAACAGTTTTATAGCAGGTTCGTCTCCGTTGCGCAGCCGGCTGGTAAGGCCGTTGCAGTTCCAGGCCTGTGCGCGAGGAAGGGGCGCAGCTCAACGGCATATTGTCAGACGATCATTGCCGCCGGAGTGAGAACAATCCCGGGATATTCAAGAAATTGCAAAAAGTGATATGAGGACGCACAAATGACTTTTCGCTTATGACATACCACAATGACTCGCGGAGCGGTGAGACGTTGATCAACAATGGCAGTTTCTGGATCTCTTACAGGGCGTTTCGCAGGCCTCGATGAGTCGCCGCTTGGATGGGATCTTTTCTTCAAAAACTTATCCATGCTTCTAGGAACTGGAAAGTTACAGATAAGGATAAGCGTTTGAAGAGAACAGGGATAAATGACGGTGCTGGTCCCCAACAGGATAATGGGGCTGCCCGGCTGGGCTGTGGTGGGAGGCGGCTAGCGACTTTGGTGCATGAGCATAAGTTTCGGAAATTACTACGGTACAATTTTTCCCGCCAAAGCTGTCCGCATACTGTACCGGACAGGAGTGGAAGGGGTCTGATGAAGATCGGATCAAAGTGTGCCTCTTTTGGATCTCACAGGTGAGATCCAGTTCTGCGTTTGGCATTAATTTCTCCATGCTGACTATTTTTAATGTTTTCCGATAATTTTCGTTTGAGTTCTGTTGGCATTTCCCGACGTCGCCCCGGCGGCGGCCATATCGCAGTGAGCAGTACCTATCCAACCAGCGATCCTTCCCAGCCGTCGCCAGCAGTATCTCGGTACTACCAGTTCAACATCCATCTCCTTCGGCGGCCAGGTGCAAACGAATCGCGATGTCTCACAGGAAATTCGAGGCCCCACGCCATGGGTCGTTGGCCTTCCTTCCGAAGAAGCGCACATCCCGTCACCGCGGAAAGGTCAAGGCATTCCCGAAGGATGACGCGACAAAGCCCTGCCATCTCACTGCCTTCATGGGCTACAAGGCCGGCATGACCCACATTGTCCGTGACGTCGACAAACCAGGGTCCAAGCTGCACAAAAAGGAAGTCGTCGAGGCCGTTAGCATCATCGAGACCCCCCCAGTTGTCGCCGTCGGTGTTGTTGGTTATGTCGAGACCCCGTACGGGCTTCGCTCCCTCACCACTGTCTGGGCGGCACATCTCTCCGACGAGGTGAAGCGTCGCTTCTACAAGAACTGGTACAAGTCTAAGAAGAAGGCCTTCACCAAGTACGCCAAGAAGCATGCCGAGGGTGCTGCAGATGTCGACGCCGAGCTTGAGCGGATCGTCAAACATTGCGCAGTTGTGCGTCTCTTGGTACACACTCAGATCCGCAAAATCAAGGTCGCCCAGAAGAAGGCACACCTCATGGAAGTCCAGATCAACGGCGGCTCCATTGCCGACAAGGTCGAATATGCCAAGGCCTTATTCGAGCGCACCATCGATGTCAACGCCGTATTCAGTAAGGATGAAATGATTGATTGCATTGGTGTTACTAAGGGTCACGGATTTGAAGGTGTTGTAACGCGATGGGGTGTCACCAGACTTCCACGAAAGACCCATCGTGGACTTCGCAAGGTCGCCTGTATCGGAGCTTGGCATCCTGCTCGTGTTGGCTATACCGTCGCACGAGCGGGCCAGCGTGGTTACTTTCACAGGACTCAGGCCAACCTTAAAATCTATCGTGTCGGTGCCAAGGACGACCATAAGAGTGCGACCACCGACTTTGATCTCACCGAGAAGTCCATCACCCCCATGGGTGGTTTTCCCCACTATGGTACTATCAATGAAGATTGGATTATGGTCAAGGGATGCGTGGTCGGGACTAGGAAGCGCATTATCACCCTTCGCAAGAGCCTGTTTCCGCAGACCTCCCGCGCAGCGCAGGAGGAGATTACCTTGAAGTTCATTGATACTTCCTCCAAGCAGGGCCATGGAAGATTCCAAACTCTTGCCGAAAAGAGGAAGTATGAGGGAACTCTCAAGCGCGATACATACACAACCTGATAAATATCGATGTAGAGTCCCTTTGGAAATTTGTTTTTGAGCCACATCGCATCACTCTATTCCTCCATTTTCAGGATCCGATACCTTCTGAATGAGCTTTCGTTGAGTATCACTTCCTTCGCGTTGCCCCTAATTCGAGATGCTGCGCGTGTGTTCATGATTTTTAGTGTTGCCAAACGATTTAATGAATCTATTCCTTGTACGAACATGTCTACAAAAGCTACAGAATTGACTTCGTGGCAATCGGAGCGAAGGAATCCAGCCTGTATCGGGGTTACCCACTGCGCCTCGTAGTTTCTGGTTAACTCTTGGTGCAAGAGTGCTTCCTCAGCTGAGAGATCTGCTTGAAGTCTGCCCCACAAGTGGGGCAGACAAAAGGGCGTTGGTCGAAGTGTACAAGAGACCGGTGTCGCTGCAGGCCGTCTTTGAATGCAAAAGACGAAGAGCATTGTTCGCATGAAAATGGCCGTTCATTCAAGTGAACTGATTTCTTGTGCTTGCTAAGGTTACCTGGTGGATGCATGAGGAAAATATGCAAAGAACAGGAGGATACGGTCAATTCGTTTGCTGTCAGCGTTCTGACGGTGTACTAGAGCAACGAGATATTCTGATGTGATATCAAAGAAGACCTCATACCTTTTTCCCCGAAAGTCTTTTGGCAGATGTCGCATCTATATGGGCGCAGTTTTTCGTGTACCGTTCTTGGAAAGAATAGAACGAAACGCCACAGAACGGAACGAAGAAGCAATTTCACGTCCTCCAAATTAGAGCTCACGCTGATATCAAACGAAAAAGAGACGAACACTTGGTCGGGTCGTTGACAAACCTTTTATGCTTCGAAGCGTCGTGGCTTTGCGCGAAGGTCGCCGAACAAGATTCACACCTGAATCTTTTTGCCCCCCCCGTGCTTGTTGTCGAGAACCCTTTACCTGAGCGCCTGCTAGATTGTCGGGCTATGGAGCCGTTTTCACTCCCGTTAGCAGAGGCCCCAGAGTTTACCAAAAAGGATATCTCTAGTTTCGGATGTCGATTGTTTCCCAATCCTCCATTCCTGGACGACTCACTCTTTCCATCTGCGTGTCTGCTGCTGTTTGTGCGGTAGACACCATGCGCCCCTTTCGGTGCCATTTTGATGCGGAAAGGAAGTAATGGGCGGGTACCGAGAGAAGCAGCGTCGCTGAATTCGGAGCATGAAGACTTCGGTACAATAACGGATAAGTCCGCTTTTTCTTATGGTGTTCATCTCATCCAGATGGGGTAGGGTGAAGAACGTAGGTATCAGTGAGCATTGAGGGCCTAAAGTCTCTCGAAAGGTTTACGAACAGGGGTCCTCCTCGTCAGCGCAGTCTGCTGGACGCAATGTGTATCCTTGCCGGTAAGAAGCTAGTTTGTGGAAAGGTGCGAAGTGTGCACAACTATGATGCAGGACCGAGAATGATGGACTTCTCTCAGGAACTGGAAACTGCATGGAGGGACTCTGGCGACCCAAAATATTACAACAGCTATCTGCCACGGCTTCATCGCGCAAAGGAAACTGAACACTGAATAAATGGACCATTAATTGACACATATACTCTACCCCTATTGCTTGTTGACAAGAATTACACAATGGAAGAATGCCGTGCCCGGCTGAGACACTCTCTGTAGGGTAAACCCAGAAAGCGACAATCCCAAAAATGGACAGTTGTCAGTGCACCAAAGTTATGTGGGACAAACACAACAAAAATTCATGCCGATCTATGTGAGTAGCATGTGGACAAGTGATCCTTCCCGTTCTGTATTTCAATTCAGAAGTGAATGTCCAGGGTGAGGCTGCGAATGTCCCTGTTTTGCCTGAGTCTACCCGTATTTTTACAAGCGGGCATCCGTTGTGGAAACGGCTACACAGTCCATTGCTTTTTACCAACTTCATCTCTTATCTCTCCTGATATATATTATACTCGGTCTATTGCTCTGCATCTCGCGAATGACGCTTTTTCTGTGCTGTTGTGTACGGTGTTTTCGCTTTCTAAGCATACTGCCGGTGCCCGGGTTCTCTATTCTTGTAGCGGGAATATCTTGCTAGGCGATAGGACATTTCAATTATAGTAGACTCCTTTTCTTCAATTTTTCTGGATACATTCCTATTTACTCTACATGGCAGAATCACATTGATCACTGGGAAGATGACGCCTGAAGCTGAACAAGAGGTAGCGCGGTGCTATGAAATCAGGGGAGTCGCAGCTGCATACAACTACATACAAGGGCTTGCTGATACAATGCAGAGATACAAGCCGTAAATGTAGCATTTTACTGTTGCCCACCCGCTGACCTCCCTAAACTTTCGATGTGCCCTGGCCTGTACAGTGTTTCGGATTTTTGCACGAATGAAATGACCCAAAAGGCATGGCCCCAACGCCTTATGACAAAATCCACATGTTTTGCCTATTCATATATTGAGTAGGGATAGAGGCTACATAGAAATCACCTCTTTGGCACCTCCCGGGTCGGAACCGGCCGATATGTGCTAAAAACAATAATATGCTTATGTGGCGTCTGCCATTATCGAGAAATCACTGTAGAAATAGGACAGAGTGAAGATATTTAGGAGTCGGGTTACGGTTTTCCATCCCACGTATGCGTCAAACTTCGTTGTACTGTATCACTTGCCGTTGAAAAACCTGGCATTGGATGCGGCGAAAGGTGGCAAATGTGATTTTTTTCGTCGCGGGTGTGGACGTGGACCAATTCAAACGGATTGGTTTACGAAATGCTCCAGGTATTGCTATGCGTGGACCTTTGCTTCGTGAGGAATTTCTTGGCAAGATGACGAGAATTCCATTTTTCATCGTAGAAACCAATGGGGATGTCCCGTACACTCTCTGATAAGCGAGGTTGCATTGCCCACCAATTCTCCAAGGTTCCCTCTTTCTTGTCTGAAGGTATAAACAAATTTCTAGGTGCATACAGTAGTCACTTTTTGCGATTTCGCCTTCATGAAAGAATAATCGCAGCACCACTGCTTACAGAGGAAATATGCGATTTCCAAGTACGACGTAGGATTCATGCATTCTTCGTTGTTGTCAACGACTATTCAGCCCGTGACATAGCCGCAAGTAGAGAAGGGTACCAAATTTGCTCCGACAGCACTTGTTGTGACACACTCTTTCCGAAATTCTCTTCTCTTCTCTTCTCTTCTCTTCTCTTCTCTTCTCAACAATTTTCATTTGACATAATTGCTTTCTATTTTGGAAAAAGCCGTTACGCGATACTGTGTGGACGGGTTACATTGTACGTACAAAATCTCTCATAAAGTTGAAAAGGTGCAGGCAAGCAGGCGAGATTAAGACTTTTAAACCCCGGAAATGAGTTATTCAAAAGCCTCGTGACGTACCGTACGGTGCAGCTTGAAATTGGAATACCGACGCTTTGCTGAGATGTATTAAAAATGAGTTCATCGGCAACCACAATCAACGTTATTAAAGAAATTTTTTGTCCTTAGTACATCTTGGGTACCTCCAAGTCATATATATATATATATACGCGGTCATCTCGAGACCTGTCACTGTAAAGAAGTCTTCGTTGCATGACGTTTGAATGTGTTCCACATGTCCCGGTTATACAATTCATTGTTTGGATCGTTTCAATTAAAAGAAAGGTCACTTGGCATGGATGTCACCACCGCAGCTATTCAATCCTTTTCAAACGTATGTACTTTCTCAAGCAAGCTGGTTAGGGAACGAAGATCTCAAGATGAAGAAGTCTGCAGACACAACCCTTCCATCTCGCAAAAGCCGCCAAGACGGACGAGAAAAAGTGCAGTTTGTTCTATATTACAAGCCTAATGGCCTCGGACAAGCAGACCAATAGAGCCTTTCGTTTCCTCAAAATGATCACATAATTTTCTAATTTCCGAAGGCTTGTATATACTTCCGGGAAAAGGTGCTCATAATTTTTGTATCTCTCACACTGCACTCCGGCTCTCGGTGGCTGAGGGGAGAAAAAGGCTTCCCGTAATACTTAAATTAGGATGAATTTTTTAGGTGTCGGTATTAAACTTCAGGAAGCAAGTCTTCTGGTACTCCTCGCAACACCACTTCCCAAGTAGTTCCTGTGCCATATCAGCTTTGAGATAGAACTCTGGGGTTCGAATTAATTTAACAGTTTGCTTATTAGACAAGTTAGTTCAGCATCCCTACCCATCCAGAAGAGTTCATGTGTTCCTTTGTCTGCGGCAGGAACTTTGACATATGGATGATCTGTCTATTTTGACAACACAAAATCCTTAATGTTCCTTAGCCACGGAAACGTACAGCATTGGACCTTCAATTCGGTTCCGTCCTTAACCTCACATTGTCCTTCTCGTTTCCGATTCCAGTTTCCGGTTTATGGTTCAATATTTATTCACTGAGCCGAAAAAACTCGATGCATTTTACCAACCGTGTCCAAACAAAATGCATACCTACACAGGTCTTAAATTTTTGTCGCAAGAAGAATTTCATGGTTTGGGTTTTCCGCATATTTACATAAATGGAAGGGCAATGTGATACTCTCAACCAAAATTTGCTCAAATGTTAGAGTGGTTTCACCCAGAGCTAAGACAATACTGTAGATGCGGCACTGCCTTTTGGGCACATCAGCCACGCATACAATAAAGTCACCATCGGCCCCCGCTCCAGATGAGAGGAGGGATGCATCGGTGTTGTTGGCATCACAGGATATGGGCCGCACGACTACTGATAGCGATCCGTCATCCATCAACCTCCACCATGGACGACGCTAAAAGATGTCCGCAGCCGGCACAACGACAAGCCGAGCAACAGTTCAACGTAGGTGTAACAGGCAAACTCTCCTGCCTCGTACAACAACACAAATCCAGTACGCCTACGAGACATTCCAACACCCTAGTAATCAAAGTAAGGGAGAATTGTTGATGTGTATCGAGGATGCTCTCATGACGACGGCCTCTGCTGATGATACACTCTGTGCATGGCACAGTGTTATGCCAAGTGTGATCAAGTACAGCAGTAACAGCGACTGAAGGACTGTATGTAGACTGACTTCTGCTGAACTATATTTGTTATGTTTTTATATTGTTGCTCTGCGCAATCTATTGTCCTACGGTATTTGATCTTGACGAATGAGCTGTTCCATGTAAGATTGTCATGGTGCTGAACTCCACTATGAGACGTAGGCACCAGCTCTCTCTTTAGTATAAAACAGTCTCCGACTGCGATGGTGAGTAAAAAAGGAAGGCAGCCTTGCCACCCGATATCGTTGTCTATCTTTACTTCCAGCCAGCCCAGCCCTTAACTCAAGTGGTTATGGGCCCAGAATCGTCGCTAATCAACTGAACCTCTTTTGGAAGAGCTCTTCATCGTGCTTTACTGATTCTGTGCTTTGGTGCTACTTTTTGGAGTTTCTTTCGAAAATGGAAGACTCCAAACGGCTTCACAAATTTCACGGACGTCCTGGAGAGGACTTCCATCTATGGGCTGCCCTTACGGAGGCGGCGTTGGAAGTAAAAGTAGTTCTCCGTGTCGTTATCGCTGATGTCATTGGAGACGGTACTGGAGATATATCCGCGGAAATTAAGCTGTCTATTGCAAATGCCCGCGCTGTAATCATACAAGGCCTTGGTGATAAACCTCTACGTCTCTGTTACATGGAAAAGTACAACCCATTCATGATGTGGGAAAGATGGAGGGACAGATATGCGGTCTCAAACATTGTCACGGGCGTACAGCTTCTCACAAAATTGGCTCGCGCCAGCTACAGTGGCCAGGTAATGTCCGATTTCATCGATGGTTTCGAGGAAGTTTTCAATCGTCTATCGGCTATGGAGAGCAGCGTGACGGAGCAAATGCAAGTTTCTATGCTTATCGCCTCTTTCGGTGACAAATCTAAATCCGACTACGGCTATGTTGTCTCTTCCATGCAAACAATGGACTCTGAGCTTTCACGGGAGTCAGGTACGGCCCGACTCCTCCAGAAATATGAGGAGAAAGCATCTCGTCAAAGCCGACAAGGAGTCAGCTTAAGACCGGGGATGGCTCATCAGTGGCCTTTACAGCGGGAAGAAAGACTCATCCAGTTGTGAAGAGACAAAGTCGGTACTTCGGACAAAAGGTAAGCGTGCCTCTGAGAAACTTCGTTACTATGAATGCGGTGAGGTCGGACACTTTGCAAGGAACTGCCCGCAGAGTCAGAGGGAGAAGTATCTCCATAACGACGCAGAAAATAGGGGTACGACAAATCACGCCACAATGCTGATGGCTCTTGACGGAGAATAGGAGGAGGCTCAGAACTACAATTGCAAGAGTATGCATGTGTGATATCAATGCATCTACAATTTGCAACATTGCAAAATCTTCTGACGTCGACGTCAGGGAGATGTCAGACTTATCCCTTCCAAATTCTGAAAAACTAACGGTTGCATTCGACAGCAACCGGAAGGACCCCGGACTGCTTCTGGACTCCGGTGCCTCAGACTACATGGTGCGGAATGGGGCTTGGCTCACAGACTTAAGAATGATTCCTCCTCGCGTAATCCTACTCGGAAACGGTGCTGTGATTGTCGCTCGTCGAAAG